ATCTGTCTTCTTTTTCACTCTTCTTCTTCTTCTATTTTTTTTGTTGTTTATTACTTGTTAGATTTTCTTCTTGAGCCGTTTTTAACAGAATAAATTTTTTTCTCAAACTCGGTTATAACTTGAGTATGTCTTTGTTGATATTTTACTTTTTTAAGTCACTTCATTTTTCTTTGTCTAAAGACCTTCCTGTTGTAATTAAAATCTGTCTAAATAAGCAATAACTTCCTCTAATATATTAACTATTATTTTATTTTTGAAGTTTCTTAGTCATTTTTTATGAACAGAGTTTATTTGTTAGTTTAACCTTTTCAAGAACAAACTCGAATTGTGTAGATAATTCTCGCAAAAGATATTGTTAGAAGATGGTTGATGAAATCTAGTGAGAAGAAGTTTAAAAATTGTTTGCAACAAAAAAGACGAATAAAAAACTCTATTCCCAAAAAAAAACGAATTGAAATTTTTTTAAAAAAAAGAAAAAAAAAATATTTATAGAAATTAGTGAGAAGAATAAAAATATTTTTAGGAGTTACTAAAAGTTGAGGTGCATCTCGTATTTTTTTCGAAATGTAATTTACAAAATTTAAATCAAGAAAAGATATTGAAGATTTATTTTTACAATTTCCTATTTTTAAATCAAACCAAATTTCTAATGAGCATTAAATAACTAGACATTTCGTTAAATAATTAGTAATAACATGAACTATTTAATTCAGTAACTCATAATGAAAACATTCGTTAAAGAAGAAGTGATGCAATCAACATGCCAAATTAATACAAATGAATTAACTCCTGTTGTTTGTACTACAAGTTCAACAGAATATGATAATTTATCATCTGTTAAACAAGTTAAAAAAAATAAAACTTCAAGAGAAATACGTAATTCTCAAACTATTCAACAAGCTGTTCTTATTGGTGCTTTAAATCATTATGCTGATATTATTTTTAAACAACCAGCAAAGAAGTCAATAACAACTCATCAATATATGAGAATCAAATCTGTTAATTTTAGTGATGAAAATATTGTTTCTTTTGCAGAATTTCTTAAAACAAGATGTTATGAACATTATAGTTATGACATTTCTCATGGAGTTGCTCTTAAAACTGCAAAAAGAAGATACCAAACTAATAAAAAAACAGATGGACTTCATCTTTTGATGGATTTATTGAATGAACTAGGTTTTGAGTTTAGTACTAAACTTACTGAAGGAAAAAGTGGTACAATTAAATTAGAAAATATTTTAGAGGTTAGAAAAGAATCTTTTGTTGTTTTAAACCAAAATAATTTTGGGACTGTTGGTCAAGAAATTAATATTCTTTTAAATGAAAGAATGAAACATGCAGGAAAAGAAATGACTCTTTGTCGTAATGACCCTGAACTATCTCAAATATTTAGACTTTAATTGTTGTACATTTACTTCTTTGTGTTACTTTTTATTATTTTTTTTTTGGTTTAGAAGTATTTTGGTTTAGTCTCTTGACGATATTCTATTTATACATCTCTTTCTAACAACTTCTACTTATTTTATAAAACTCTTAAAAAAGGTTTTCACACTAAATCAATAAATAGAATTAAAAATACATAACAACTTCATTCTCTATTTATTTCAAAATAACTTTTTAAAACTACTTTAAAAAATGTTTATGTTTATAATTACTGAATTTCTGTAAGGAAAAAAAAGAGATTTAAAACTGTATTGGCGTTTACAATTTATTTAACGCATTAATTTTTTAACAATAGACAGAAAATGGATTTTGTGTTTTATTATTTATGGCAGTTCTATAAATACGTTGAAGAAGGATTATATGTTATTAATAACAAAATATAATCATATTAAAACATATTTAATAAAAAGTTTTTATATTTTAACATTTTTTAGTTTTTATGAAAAAACAAAATGAATTTTAAAAAATTTCAGCTCATTAATTTCGTTTCAATCAATGGTAAATACCTGGTTGAATTATCTGAGAAATAGAGAATTTATTCAATGTATTATCACTATACTAACATTCTTGATTTATATTGTTTTTATATTTATTTCTATTCTAGTGAATTTACCTAAAGAAGCTCCATTAAGAGTTATAAGTCCTACAGAACAATATTTCACATTACTTCAAATTAGTGATATTCATATTAATATGTTTACAGACCTTTCACAAGTAACAAACTTAAAAGAGTTTTGTGATCAATTACCATTAATTCAACCTGACACAGTTATTGTAACAGGTGATATTTGTCATGGAAGGAAAAATGGAATTGGCTTTTATCCTGAAAAACATAAAGGAGATTATGATTTATATAACAGTACTGTACATGAATGTCTTAATAAATTCTCAGTTCCTTGGTTTGATTTAAGAGGAAATCATGATGTTGATGGAGTTTATGGAAGAAAGAATGAACATATGCTTGTTGATTCTTATCTTTTTAGTCATATGAATGCAATGGATATTAGTACATTAGAACTTAGAAAAGACAATACCTCAGCATTAATCATTGGATGTGATAATTATTTAAATGCAATGATATCAATGGAAACAGAAGGGTATTTATCTGAACAAAGTATTAATAAAATTATATCATTTCTAGAGAGAAATGACACATATAAAATAGTTGCTACTCATCATCCATCAATGGGGATTATTTCTGATGATAAAAAATATCTTGGAGAGAAAATTGAAGAATATTTTGGTAAAAAGAATCCTATATCTTTACATATTTGTGGACATTATCATATGGACGAAATGGCTGCATATCATCATCATTATTTTGAAGCAGAATTAGTAACATTACAATATGGAAAATATCGTGTTATTGTATTAAAAAATAAGGTTGCTTATTTTGGTGATTTTATTATTGGAGAACTTCCTATTATTCCAATATGTCCAGGAGAAAATGTTCAACAATGTAATCAAACAGAAATATTTATTGGTTGGAAAGTAGATAAAGTTGAAGTATATGGTAAAGAGTCTCATCAGAAAATTGTTTTATCTTCAAAAGACCAGAGGTTATGGACATCACCTATTTTATTGAATGAAAGTATTTCTGTTACTGTTTCATTCTCTTCAAACCAAATAGTAAAAGAATTTACATTTGGTAAACAATATCTTCATTTAAAAGGAACTGTTATTAATTTTAAAATGAGAGATGTAGCAATTGCTCTGTCTGCTCTTTCTTTTTGTTTATTTTCAATAAGAATTATTGGAGGATTATTAACACAAAAATTTATAGTAATGAAAAAACTTACATTATTTGAACATTATAGTTATGCTTCACGTACTACATTACTTTTATGTTTAATAGTTTCAATTATTTTTTATTTTATACCAATTATTATTGGATATAATTCATTTGAAATATCAGACACAAAAATATTAATATATTGTGGTGTAAATTTTGCTAAAATTGGTGTATATGGATCACATTTTCTTACTCATGGATATGCTCTTCATTTTATTGTGATTATTATTCTTTGGACTTTTTTGTGGACAGTTTGTCATTCAAATAGATTAAATATTCACCGTGCTAAATTAGGAATAGATGTATTATGGTGTTTCTTTATAGGAACTAGTGTTTTTTATTCTTTTACTATTTCTATCTCAATCTTCTTCTTTTCACCATTAACATATCTTCAATTAGTATTGTTATGTATTGTTAATTACATTCAATGGTTTAATCAAAAGAAAATTTTGTCTCACCAACAACCTTTAAATGAAAGTGTTAATGAAAATGGATTTGTTCAAATGGAAGATCAAGTTCATGAAGAAATGATAATAGATACTCAAATAAATAATTGAATAAAATTAATATTTATTAATTAAAATGGTTTTATTTTAATAAAACTTCGTTCTTTAATTTAAAAAAAAAATAAAATAAAAAATAAAATAAAACTTAAAAAATAACACAATAAAATGGAAAAATTACTTAATGAATGTAATAGTCTTAGTTCAGCTGAATTCAATCAACCAAATAATGTTAATCAGGCATTAATTAGAATAAATCAATTTATTATTAACTACCCGACGTTAATATTTACAAGTATTTGTTTTTCATTTATTTTATTAATGTTTGTTATTACATTAATAAATTAAACGATATTTAAAAGAAGTAATAAGATAGGTTTGTGTATTATCCATTTGTATGGGTTGTTTCAATAACGCCACTACCATTTATTATTTATAAAGTATTATTAACAAAAAAATACGAACTAACAAAAGTCGTGTCTAATATTAAAGAAAATGAAATAACTATTATCTGTGGAATGGTTGGGGCTTATGTTGCTTATTGTTGTCATGCAATAATACCAATGCTGTTAAGTATGACATTTCCATTAATTTGTTGTTTAGTTCTTGGAAGTTTTTATGAAACAAAACAAGAAAAAAGCAAATGAATTAAATTAATACATATGAATTATGTTAGAATTAGTTATTGTTGTGTTGTTACTTTTTAAAATTCACCAACAAAAAAAAGAAATAGATTTATAATATTTTTAATAATATAAATGAAGATGGATAAGTTTCTTTTTCCATCATATCAAATTGTAAACGAGCAATTAAAGATAATATTCTTTGAGAAGAATTAAATTGAAATTTCATTTGTTTTCTTCTTTTATTTAATAATTTAATAGATTTATAAACTGAATGATATAATTGATGATATAATGGTTGTAAGTCATTCATTAATGCAAGAGGTAATGCAGACATATTTGAATGAGATATTTTATGTTGATTAGAAATAGAGATATCTGAAGGAGTTAAAATTTGAGGATATATAAATTCATCATTTAAATTGTTTGTTTGATTAATATCTTGAAAAGTTTCTAAAGGGGGGTCAGAAAGTAATATTTCATTTTTTAAACATTTTTCAGATAATTCTTTTCTTCTAGAAGAATATTTTAATAAATTTTTCTTTGGTTTTTTTTCTTTGTTTGAATTTTCTTTGTTGTCCATATTTTCAAAAGAGGATTTTAATTTCCATAATCCAATACGTTTTTTTGTTGGTCCACTTTCAAATTGCCCACTATGATTCATAGCATCTAATAATGCTTTTTTCCATGACTTTCCATTTTTAACTAGATAAATTGATTATTTTGAAATTTAAAAACATTTACTTCTTTTGATTCTAAAAATTTAAATTTCATTATAAATAATATAAAACAAACACTGTGCTAATTCTCCTAAAATATTCCAATGTTCTATTACAAATGGATAAATATCATCATGAGCTGAATAATATTGTTTTTCATTTATAAATGCTAATGCTTTTAGAATATACTTACAAATAATTGTCCATGGAACCCTTTTCTTTCCAATAACTTTTTCTTTATTCAAACATAAATAACATTTACACTCATTTTTACTTGGTGTTATACTTTGTTCTTTAGACATGAAAGAATAATTGGTATTAAGAGTTTGTTTTGATAGTTTTATTGAACTAAGTAATTAGTTTTCCATTATTCATCTTTTTTTTTCCAATTTTATTTTAATTGAATCAAATTTACTTATTATTCCCGATTTATTCAATATTTTTTATACGAGAAATAAGCAGTTTTTCTATTATTTCATAAGTAAATTTTTTTTTAGTAATTTGAAAAAGAAGAGTTAATTAAGTTCTTTAATAACAAATTTAAACCTCAATTTCAAAGTTAATTTCATATTTATAATATTATTACTTAATTATTTAATTTAAAATATTTATCTATTTTTTTTTTAATTAAATGTAATTTTCAAATAACATCTTTAAACCATTAAATAAATAATAAATATTTAAATTATAATTGTATATTTTTCACAAAGACTAAATTATTTAACAAAAAATGTGTGTGATTTGCTCATCTCGAAGTTTTATTTTTATTTGTGAATTATCTTTAAATGAGTGGCAAAGATAATCATTTACTGCTTTTCCTTTTTTTTCAATATCTTTTTTACTGTATTTCATTTTATTGTTATAATATACTGAATGAACTGTTTCAACTGTTGGTGTTCCATTTTTTCCAATAGTTCTAGACACTTGAAAGAAATATCCAAATTCACTTAAAATATCTACAAGGAAATGTAATGCTTCTGAAAATTTATTGTTTTCAAATCTTCTTTGAGCAGTTTTTTCTGGAACACCTAGTTTTATATCATTACTTTTTCTTTTTCTACATCTGTCTGCAATAAATGATGAAAAAGGAATTTCATCATATTGTCTTTCTAATTGAATACTTTGTATTTTAATAAATTGAATTGTTACAGTTGTTTTCTTAGAAGGTTTACAGATAGTAATTGTTGCAAATTGATTTAATAGACCAATAAAAAATGCTTCTTGTAATGCTTGATAATTTCTCCATTTAGTAAATTTATATCTAGAAGATTGTTTATCAATTGCTGGATCATCTGCCATATAATCAAAGTATCCAACTCCTTTAATAAGTTTTGACATGCAATTTTAGTTATTTTAGTTTTTAAATTATATTTGAGACTTAAAATAGTTATTCGCATTAATGTGTTTCTTTTGTTATAAACCAATTATAAATTAATGATTTGAATATGTTATTATCTAAATCTGTTTCTTCTTTTTTCTTTTTTTCTTAAATTCAATTTCTATTTTTAGATAACCTGATTTATTTATTTTCCTTTGAGGTTCAAATAAAGTTCCCCTTTTCCCTCTCTTTTTATACATCCTTAAATATCTTCTTATTTAAGATTTATTTTTAAGAATAAAAATTCTCTCAAATGGTATAAAATTGACTACTAAAAATTTCTTTAATAAAACATTACTTTTTAATATTTCCTCGTTTATATTGTTTCCTTTCTTCTTTCTATAATCTAACATTATTTACTAAAAAAATGATCGCATCACATCGTTGGTTAATGAAAGTCATAGTAATGAAGCATTACTCACTCAATAAATTTTGTGACATATATCACTTATTATAAACAAGGCTATTTAAGTAGAATAGTAAATTAGTAATAAAAATAAGACTTTTTTCCTTTTTACTTTAAACTTTTACATCTACTTCTGTATTAAATATATATCTTTGAAAATGATTTGTTTTTTTTTTCCACTCATTTATTTAATATTTTATAAAAAATTTAAAACTATTTAAAGTATTTTTTACTAATCTTTTTACTATTTGAAGTATAATAATTTATTCATTCATTTAACTGTTTTTCTCTGTTTTTATATTCTTTTTATCTTTTACTTATCTCAGGTTTGTTGTTATACAGTTATGTAAAATGATGTTTTCCTTCTAATAGTGATTAATCTGAGAAAAATAGTGTTATTTGTGTAACTGATTGAAAAGTTTTTTTATTTATTTTTTCTAAAAGATATAAATATGAGGTTCATTTATGTTAAGGATTATTTTGTCTATCAGTGGTTTGTTATAAAATAGATTCAGAACCAAAAAAAGAATAGCATATTTTTTCTAAAACCTTCTTCAAAGAAAAATTAAAACATTAATTATCAAATCTCTACAAAAATGATTTAGAAATAAATTTATTTTTTTTTAAAATAGTATTTAAAACATAACACAAAATGAATATCTATTACTTTCAACTTCATAAAAGGAAATAATTAGATACAACTCCTTCATTATTTCAAACATTACATAAAATTAAAAAAAAATTAAAAAATAACTGAATATACATAGTCAGTATGGGATAAAGCCATTTTCTATCTTAATTACAGATTATTTTATAATACTTAATCCGAAGTAAATAGTTTTAACTTTAATTTAACTTGAATTGAAAAATAAATATGAAAATACTTAAATTGATTTATAAAAAAAAAACAAAGTAAAAAAGATGATTTTATTGTTAACATGATTAGATTAATTACATGATGAAAAACTAAAACAAAAAAAACAAAATAAATACAATTAATTATTATTGTTATAATAATCTTGAACAGTGATTATTTTCAATTTAATAAAGCAATAAGTTTAAACAAAACACAAATTATTAAATGAATTACATAAACAGTTAAATTAATAACAACCAATTAAATCAATCAACTTAAACAAGAATAATAATAAAAATTAAAAACAAAGAGGTGGCATGTGATTATCAAAGGTAATAAAAAGTTTTTAATAGAAAATTAGATGTTTCTTATTAAAATAATATTTAATTTATATCTCATATTTAAAAAATATAATAAATTCTAGTAACTTATTTTCCATACAACCTGATTTCATTTTATTTAGACTATAATTGTATCCAAAATATTGACATAAAAATTTGTATTAAAAATTTCTGGAGATACTCTCTAACTGATTGGTATACTTTTATAACTTTGAAATTATTGTTGTTTAGTATGAAATTTTAAGTCTCTTTTGAATTATTATTGTTTTATGAACAATAATTTTAAATAACAAAAAATATCTTTTATTGAAATAAGTTCTTTTTAAATATGGATCTTTTGAAAATAGCTTACAATTTAATTTTCAATATTATTCTATATAACTATTGGAATTTTCACTACAAAAAATACTTTTCTTAATGTCTATGTTTTTGAATTATCTATTTGTATAAAATATATTAAATAGTTTATTTTTTATTTTTGTATTATTAGTTTTATGAATGATTATTTCTTGTGGTACCCATTTAATATTTATTTAATAATATTAAAATGATATCGTTTCAATGTTTATTTCCTTTGTTCTTCTTTTTTAAATCTTTTTCATTTTATTCAATGGTTCATTGTAAGATAAAATCTTAATAAGTAAGATATTGATAAATACTGAAAATAGTTTTATTTAAGTTATATAATATAAAAGTTATTTCTTAGAATTTATTGGTTAGTCTCACTAATACTAATAACTTTAAGTAAAAGTAATAAGGAATTATCATAGATATAAGTCATATTGAATTATGAACAAATTATTATTTACAGAAACAAATAATTCCATAAATAAAAAAAATTTTAAAATAAACAACAAAAAAAGAATAAAAATTGTTATAAAGATAGATAATAATAAATTACTACAAACAAAGTGTCCAAAAAAGAACTACAAAGTTCAGTTGGTATG